AATGTAACGAGTATTCATATATTATTGTGGTTTCATCCGTTTGGCTGTAATTGACGTTTAAATTTGAAAAACGTTAAAAATAATGGGGAAAGAAGAGGAAGAAGACCTCCTCTTCTTTCCCCCTCATCGCTTTATTGAGTTGGTTTCGAGGTATGCAACCCAAACATCATCTTATTTAAATATACCAATAAAATAATCAACATTTATATTACATGTTAAAATCAGTTTTTTTAATGTCTAAATTTTTGTTTAATTGAAGATTCAATACATTCTCAATCCATTCGTAAAACAGAAAATAATCACTTACTTGCAATGATGAAGATAGAAGTGTAAAACTATATAAATATAATAAAAGGATAAATAAATAAAAGTACATTGTAATAATTTTAATGTTCACATGAATAGTTTAATCTACTTTACAACACATTCCAATCCGATGACAAACAAATTCCGATAATTCTATCTTACATATCCAAATGTTTACAAGTTCAAATACATCTACCACAATCTTAATATTAATAAATATATTTATTGATCAATATACAGTTATCCAAACGTATTGAGTCCTGTCCTCATAATCTTATATACAATATCTTACAAGGTAATACAATGATTTTCTGTAAGGAATTTATATCAGTTTGTCTTAAAAATAGTTGTACTTAAAGCTTACTCCTGTTCTCATTATTATCAATAACGAAATGAGATACTAACAATTAATGTCAATTCCTTGATGTTTATCCTTATTTAAGTTGTTTTTTTTTCTTTTATTAAAGCATTTGACTTATTTATTATACTGAAAGTATTTTCATTTGTATTTGTATTACTTAACAATTATTGATTGAATTACTACATTTTAATGTCGATAAACAAAACTTTTTTCACCCACGCATTTGTATTGAACAACTTTAGATTGAGTAAAATCTGTCTTTAAAAAGAAGTTATCAAATATACCTACATAGAAGTATGCCAAATAGACGCTAATAACATAGAAAAAAAATACTGTAATACGATTATGTCCAAATTAATGAACAATTTGAAATTATGTATTTAAAAACATTTCCTAAAAAAACAATCTTCATATCAAGTCTGTAAATTTTATGATATAATACAAAAATATTAAAACTGGAAATTAATAACGAAAGAGTTATATACATTATATAACGCTTTGTTTATTTTAATCACAACTGGTTCATTGTTAAAATGGACGAGAAGTTTAATGGGAAGTACAATTAAGAAATAGTTTCAATTACGTAATTAACGGTTTTCGCGAGAAACTACGACTCGTTATTGTTGGACAGTCAATATATTCGTATAAGAAAACATTTTTAATAAAATATCAAAAAAAATAATAAAGTTTACAAATTGCTGTAATCAACATGAATGTATAAAAACTCATTATGTATTTCTAAATATATATATAAATATATATACCAAGTAAATTGCAATAGTATCAAAGGAAAATATACATAAATAAAAATAGGATGAAAAATGAAGAGAAAAACAAAATTATTTTAAAAATTAAATATAAATCATTGCTGTAAATTTATATATATTTATATACAATATCCATAAAAAGTAATACGCAATCAATTAAATATTGAATTCAATTATATTTAGCAGTTGTAGAATACATTAACATACATTTATATTTAAAACAACAGATTGATTTACACAACATTTTTTTTTTCTTATTCTTTTATTCCTCCAAAGTTTTCCTCTCCATTAGTTTTTTTTCCTTACTCATCTTTAATACAATATACATATATATTCTTAAAATTTTTTCTCTAAACAAAAAAAAATAAATTTCAAAAAATAGAAAGTGTTAAATAGATAATTATGAGGGGGGGCAGGAATAAGAGTTGTCAGTTGCATAGAAGTACGCCGATTTGCAGGAGGAAATGTATTTCGGTGAAAGAGAAAACAATTTACTGTGTTGGAAAGAGAAAAAAAATATATATATAGTCGCATATTTTGCGAGATTTCGTTACATTAAAGTTGCTTTTTCTTCTTTTTATATATATATATATATGTCGATATATATATTTATTTTGTGCAGAAGGCATGTGCGAAATGAGACCGTCACCCGTCAAATGAAAAGTTCATATAAAACAAAATGTACATATTTAACGGAAACACCTAATGTTTCTCGAGAAAGATTAAGATTATCACAATTTTGAATCAACAACTATTACCCAAACCAAAGAAACACTCCATACTCAATTGGTGAATACCATGCCCTGTTCGGTGCAGCGGCTCCGTTCATACATTCACAATTGGAAAGGTACAGAAAACAATTAGTTCATTATCAATGTGTCTTTCTTTATTCTCCTTCTTTCTCTCTCTCTCTCTCTTCTCATATCTATATCTAAGTTTCATATTTTACTTTGTTTCTCTTCGTAGCGACTTACTCGAGACTACTTTATTATGCACCTTTGTCAATCTTTTGTCCCTTACAACTAATCAGTGGAAACAGGGTAAGCACCATAATTCATTAAATTCCATTTGTTTAATTTCTTTCCTAAACATTTAGTAGTATGCCTTTTTTTGTTTTTTTTTTGGTTTCTCTTGTTTCAACTTTTGTTTTCGCTTCAATTGTGAAATGAGGTTTCAATTCAATTAATCTTCTCCTTGGTAAGCTGTAATTCCGTACAGGGGGATGAAACGATTTGATCTGCACGCGAACCACAGTGTTTTTACAAGACTATTTGCGTGGATATGCATGTAACATTGTTTTTTTTGTTGTTGTTGTAGATATTGTTGATTGGTTATCACTGGAATACGTTATTCGAACAGACTTAATTCTATATAGGAATACAAAACACTCAGTTTGGAACGCTTTGGTCGCGAGAAGTATTGTCCATTTCGATACAGATACAAATGCGCGTCACTGACATCAAAAAGACTATTACTATTCAATTTTTATATATTTTTCTGTATTTTATTGTAAATTCCCCCGTCAATATATTACTTTTGTTTTTTTTTTCTTTTGACACCACTTACTTGGCAGTAGACTAAATTCAAACAAGTCGATTTGACTATATAGATCTAAAAATTCATTAACAACCGACTCCACCGGAAACATTCTTCATGTACTGACATTTAATAAATTTATTATTATTATTATTTTATCTTAATAATTACATTTTTTTTCTTAAATAAAACTGATGATGCAAGCTCCGCGAACCTTGTCACTGGGATCAACGTCCCATCTCAACACTTGCCTTACACGCTAAACACTCTCTTAAAATATAGTCTAGCAATTCATATTTGGTCTGATACTTCATATTTTTCATTTAATATTTTTTTTTGTTTTGTTTTTAAATTATTTAATTAATATTTTGTGTTTTTTTTTTGTTTTGTTATGCTTGTTTTATATAATTTTTTTTGCTTCTTTATTCATATAATATTTTTGCTGATTCTTGTTGTTGGTTTAGTTTTGTTGATGTTTAGAGAAGCGTACACAACCTCGGCTTTTTAACCTTCACTTTCTTCTCCGGCGACTTTTTGTTGATCTGTTTTACTAGATCATAAAATATCTGAAAGGAAAAATAAGATGCATTAGGAACAATGCAGAAAACGTAAAACTTCGGATACATACTTCGCTAACATTAGTTTTGGCTTTGGCTGAGGTCTCCATGAAGGCACAGTTAAATGTGCGTGCTAAATTTCCCCCCAGATCTTTACCAACCACTCTTTCATCTTCCAAGTCACATTTGTTACCAACAAGCACCATTGGAACATCATCTGTGTCCTAAAACAAAAAAAACACAAATCGTTTAGATGGATTTTCAAATGTTACATAAATATCTTTAAACGTAACAAATAAAGAATACATTGACTTAACAGCTATTAAAAAAAATATATCAGTATCAAATTTTATTTCCGTTACAGAGTAATCTCGTGGCTTGCGTAATCTTTTTTTAACTTCGTGATAAGATGCAGAGTGTAAGGATTCAATTCTGCGCTTGAAGATTGCATTAAATGATACGCGACAATCATATAATTACGGGACAATATACTGAACTCCGTATTTCGACTGACCCTGAAACATCTTCGATAAGGAATTGAATCATTCCTTCCTCGTGCAGATGTAACCAGGGCATAGATATCCGATACCGGAAATGTAAAAGTGAATCAACCATTCAGTAATTTACATGCAAACAATAGCACATGATACATCCATATACCGAGATATGTATTTCTGTTTATAAATTAAAACAAAAATAGTTTAAAACCTATTTGAATTGATAAAAAACAGTATTGAATCGCAAACTATAATAATTTTCTACAAAATAAAATTGCTAGCCCAAATATTACTGTGAAAGTAACTGATATATAACCAATGGAAAAATAAAATGTCTCATGCAGTGGTATGTATATACATATGAATCACCATCATTCAACATAAGTTTTATGGAATTACAAACAATACTCATATTTTGTTTCTCATAACTGGACTCTCATTCTTCAAAAAAATAGCAAAAAATTAATATGTGTGAAAAGTATGATGTTGAGGAAACGCCCCGCGCTTTGCGTGACCGAAACTCCAATGTTACTTCAAATATTACATTAGCTAAACAGACGAATATTGAAATAGTCATGCAGTCTAAATTTAAATGATTTGCAACTTGTATAAATACATATTCAAATATGAATCAGAATTGGAAGCAAAGTTAATAGAACTAGTGATGTCATCAATTAAGCTCCTAACTTTGACCTCTTGGAGTGCCACGCACTGTTCTACTCCAACAGAATGATGTAATTCAGAATTTTATTTAAGTATCTTTTATCTACCTTCACTCGCAGGATTTGCTCCCTAAGATCTTGCAGGTCATTAAACGTCGATTGTGCTGTTATTGAATACACCAGAATGAAGCCCTGGCCATTCTTCATGTACAAATCCCTCATTGCAGTGAATTGTTCCTAAAACAGAGAAATTATCAAGCGTGTACACAAACTATGTAGTAGAGTTGAAAGGCTACTTACTGTTCCAGCAGTATCTAAAATTTCAAGCATACATTGCTGGCCTTCGACTTCCACCTGCTTCCTATAACTGTCCTCAATGGTTGGATCATATTTCTCTACAAATATACCCTGCACGAATTGCACTGTCAATGCTGACTTTCCTACACCACCCGATCCCAACACTACAATTTTATATTCGCGCATGTTTCTCCACTGTACGCTCTAACTGTAATAGAAATCATATTTTCTTTTTGATCATGTGATAGTGGGACTTTTATCAATGTGGGGAACCACACACAGGAAACTTGAGTGGCCTGCGTTATGAGTAACACTTGACTGTGTGTATGAGTATGTGTACATATCAGGGAAATTAAAAACAGAAAGGATATAGAAAACACATCTAATTTGTGGTGTTTATCTTGTGACCTTGCAGTAATACTAGTCAAATTCAGATGGGAACTGAAATGTGTTAACAGAAGAAGTAACCAAGAGAAATGGATTAAGCTTGCATTAAAATCAATTGAATGCAAGTGGATTATGGGGGGAAAAGATTAATTTGTGAGAGGCCCTCTGTTGTATATATAAATATATATATATATTTACATACATATATATACTTATATATACGTATATGAGTATGTGTGCATTTGTAAGTATAAGAATGTGTTTATGTGTGTGTATGTGTGATATGAAACAGAAAAAAGAATGGTACATACATGAGAAGTAAGGGGTGAGAGAAAAAGAAAGAACTAGATCCGGTCTGGTCTGGCGGCGGGTCGGCTTCCTTCCGGTTCCGGTGGCGGGGGAGTTTTCGGGCCACTTGCACTTGATTGGTTTATATTTAACGTCAAATCAGTCCGTAAAGCACTTCAATTTACACTGTCATGGCTCAACGCTTCAATAAATGCCCACTGAAGAAAATGATTTGAATGCATTGAGACACTGATTACTCAGGCCGTGTTTCATTATCATGGATTGCGGGGGGGAGATTATTGGTTGCTGGGTGCGTGTTTACATGGGATGGTTGCAACTTACCGTGCTCGAGTACACCGTTACTTCTGGTACGGGTAGGAAAATGAATGAATAAAGCGGCGAGCAATCGGGCGATGGCTAGCTGCGAGCTGGGCTACTTCTCTTCTGCTGGTAGGAGTCTCGACCCATTGAACATAGCCGCGGAACAACGTTGCGTCGCCTCAGACTTGAAGGAGTGACCTGAAGTTGCCTACCAACCACGGACTCGAACGGTCGCCTACGCTCTACTGTCGCCAATCAGGAAACCGCCTCCGACCATGTTCTACCGCCGACCTTCTGCCGATGCAATGGGTGTGAGGATCTGCCCGGAATCGACGTCCAGCCGCCTACCTAATTCTGCACCTGGAACCCCTTAATGTCCTGCGACCCATGAGTCACGGCCCCCAAATCCCTAGGTGTGATCTGGCAACGCTGGCCGCCGCCGCGCATGACACCAAGCCGCACCCGACCGCCGTCGCCGGTAAAACAGCTTCCTGCTCCGTTGCGCCTATTTCAAAAATCCACGCCCGTCAACAGCGACAAGAACAATCAGAAGAATGTAGAAGCGAAGTAGAACTACAACAACTACAATAAGTCATCTACAAAGAGCAGAAGAAGAGCTAAACCAGAACGGGGTATCCTCATCCCTCACCGAACTGACCAACACGATCAATTACCGCTAATTATTTCGAGTTCCTCTCCACATTTGCGCACTCGCTTAATCAATACGAATTTGTTGTCACGTTTCGCAAAAGCTACAAGCAAATTTGGATGATTTGATCAATTTACATTTCCACCGCCTACTCTTCTGCTTGCCTCTTCAATCAGTCTGCTTTTGCCTTTATAATTATCATTATTCTATCATTATTATTATCATGGTTATTATTATTATTAATATATTCGTAGGATGATCGTCGACGAACGTATCATTAATGCGATACCGCGATCCCCAACCACAATGACGCGTGTTTGCGTCACGTAACCCCGCCATCATTATTTGTTGTTACACAGGGTTGGACATATCTAAAGATACATTTAATTATATCTATTTGTACTTACACATTACATTGAAACAAGCATGAATATGGTTCGTTATATGTAATGATGTATTTAATGTTAATAAGCTTGATTCATAATTTGATATTACGATTTTTAAGAAGAGGAAACTTATTCTAAGAATACATTTTCTTCCGATATCAAATATAAAATCTGACACTATTAAAATTTCCTTTAAATAAAGAAAACAACATTTTACAATCTATTACATTTCTATCTACATTTCTATTACTCAAGCTTAGAAATAAAAGAATATTTTCTATATTGAATAAAGCTCACACACGTTGCTTTCAAATCCATCCTTTGACAACATATAACATTCAGTTCCAAAACATCTTATTACTTAATACCATTGAAATGAGCTTCAGCATATTGATCTGAAATTATATGCTTTCATAACGTAAATGTCAATTGAATTGCGTACGTACGTAGAGCAATTCAATTGACATTTGCGGATGAATATTGCGATGATGCACGACTTTATTTAAATTCATTAGTATTAAACTAATGCTAAAGAGCTTGTATCTTAGATTAATATTGCGACCTTTACGAGTGCCATTGTAACATTCAACCTCAATTTGCGTTTGCGGATTAGTATTGGAGTTCTCTATACCGTATTGTGAAGATCATTTTCAATAGACATTTTCATTTATAGATTACGTAAGAGCAAATTGAATTCCTCACAATTCATATCCTATAGCCCTTTCTCATTGCTAAATCTTCGGTTCATACCATGGACAATATAACTATATTATCCACTTTTATTATTACCTTGAAAACGGACAAATGTCATCACGAATTAAATTTCTTTGTCCTCCTCAAATAGATTACTATATATTAATTAACTCCAACTACGACTAACCAGGATATTTCTTGTTATCTTATGGGAAGAGCTGCTGCTTACTGTAAATTCATTAATGCCTTAGGTTCATTAGTTTTTAAACTAAACTCGAAGTAATTATCCTTAATGAATGCGGTATTTGGCTAACCCTGTATAAGTGGAGGGTGTCGGAATCATTATGTTAATGGCATGTTTATTTCCAGCCGACGAATTTGCATAATGAACGAACGGGTTATTTCAATTTCAAATTGGTAATGGGTCCAATCAACGACATCGTTACGTCGCGATTTATCCATTATTATTTCTTTCCTATCCGACTTCCTATTTTATCTTGCGCTGCTGCAGTTTTCATTACAACCGTTACCTAAGAAATCTGAGGAAAGTGCATCATCGGAGAACTCCCCGAGGACATGCTGCTACCCCCTACTTCTTTAGCATCCTTCTCCTACTCTATTTAGCTTGCAATATATACATATATACACTTCCCCAGAATTTATGCGTTATTGGGTTTTCCTCTATTTGTCTGAAACAATATTCATCCTGTCGTGTAACTTTATTTTTTCTCGTGTGTTTATGGGTCGTGTTTTTTTTCCTCTTGCTTGCTCCTATAATTTTCTTAAGGCGTCGCCTCTGTGACGGGTGGTTTTCCTTTTTCCTAACTGATTGTTAAAGGTTCGCCGAGGGATGGGGTTAGGTTAGCATCAATCTCTTTTCTCCACGCCACACACCCATCTGACCGTCATCCTATTCCCACCACTGTCAGCCTCCACCGCTATTTGCCTAAATAGATGTGTTACGCAAACCCCGTTTATGGCGCAATCAATCCCCGCAAGAAGCTCACGTCGTGCCGCATACGCTCATCCCTTCGAATCATATGCACTAATAAACAAATTTGTCAGATCGATATTTGTTGAACAACCTGGCATCTATGCCAGCAGTCGCATTTTAATTGCTATTTGCAATAAAAGTAGCCACATTTAGACTTAATGTCAGAAGATATTTTCCTAATAATATAAATATATTTTACATTTTAGCCGTAATTTTTGAAATTGGTATAAGTTCATTTCTAATAATCATAGTGAAAAATAAACTTTGCCTTGTGGCAGATCTGGGTCTCCCCCGACTTATAAACTTACGAACAAAATTCTAAAAGCTCTAACTTGTTACAAAAATTGATCATTTCTTTAATAAAATATAATATTTTTGGAAGAAGTACTGTATCTGTTTTGTTGCACTTGTTTCTTTTGTCGTTTTTTTCAAATTTATGCAGTCAGTAATACGGAAATTAACATATATAAAAGTAAAAACCATGATAAACTGTGGTAAGATAAGTATATTTTCAAATTTTTAATATTCCCCCGAGTTACGAACAAATTCGACTTGCGAACAAACTCTTTGGAACGGAAGTAGTTCGTAAGTCGTGGGATACCTGTATTAGCTTAAAAACAACAACGTAAACAAGATAAAATATGCTGGATGAGGTTTAGTATGGAAAGAAATAGCAAAAAAGTAAGCCAAAGTAAACCCACTGAATATATGATGACAAAAATGTACAAAGTAGGAAGTTGCAGACACATGCCCATTTTTGTCGTTTTTTTTTAATGCAAAGACCTAAAAGTGTGGAAAACGCTATATATTACTAAAATTAACATTAACAATTTTGTTTTTCAAAAAGTGGACGCGTCTCATTATATAAGTCCATTTGGAGCTAAAAATGTAACAATTTTAATAATTAATATTGCGTGATGATTTTTTTTTTAATTCATTTTACACGGAAATGAAACACATAAAATTCCATTAAGTTAATAACAAATTCTGTTTAGTTTTTATCGATTGTTTTTTTGTTTTGCTTCTGTTTCTTCATGTATTCATGCATTTGATATTCAGCGGGATCTGCTTTTCGTACGTATTTTTCGACGGCGGTAAAATAATATTTATAGTCCTCACAAACAAACACTCTAAAATCCGTTTTATTTTTATCCTAACAGAAGAAAGGACGAAATCTCCGGCGCGCGCTGTAAACCGCAAATGTCTCATTATAAATCCTCATGTGATGGCTACGTGCATACTGATTCCATATCCGCAATGTCCTTTAAAATCCTCAAATATTTAAAAGGATCCTCTCAATATAAGCTCCTTTTCGTCTCCATCCATACATCTCCCTGCTATTCTCTCGCTAAATGTATTTTTTTATCCCCTTATGCCATCTGAGTATCCATCTCATATTTCGTGCCAGTTTATTTCGTTTTTCACTCGCTTATTCCATTTTCTTCTATTATTAGCTGGAACCGAAATGTACAAAAAGAGGAAAAATACATTCATTATACGTGAATATATGTGCAAAAATGAAATAAAATGACTGGATCGAGTCGCTGAGTAACCCTGGGCTATTCAGGAAAATCAGAAAAAGGAATAAATTATCCAGGCGCTCGGTCTAAATATAAATCGCGTAATTGGGTTGTTTGGCGTGTTCACTTGTGCTGCTTTATTTAATTACGTTTCTAAGTATTGATTAATTAAGCTATTTCCTAATTAATTTAAGTAGCGTCATTTTATTTCTACACAAGTAACAGTGGTGTACAGGGCCGGATCCACTAAGTGCGAGGAAAAAATTAGAATTTACATATTTTAAATATTTATTTAAAACAAAATCTCATTATAAAAATCAAAAGTTATGAACCATAAGATCAACAAATTTCTACATTAAAAAAACAAATATAAAAACAATAACTGAAACAAGAAAAGTTAGCAAAATAAAAACAATTTTATTTTAATATATTTAATTTTCATCCTTATTGTATTTTCCATTTATTTCAATATATGTTTTAAGTCAGTAGAGCCACCTCTAAAAATCGGCTTTTTGGAGCTTTTCAACTTTTAATTAATGATCTCTTCATTGGAATTGAAAAGAAATGTTTTACATGTTTCGACGTTTTTGTTTTGAAACATCTTCTAAAATAGTATAAAAATCCAACTGACTTACTTCTTAACTGTCGACATCATAGATAGTTTTAATCTAAAAAATGACCTCTCTCCAGAAGCAACGTTTATTGGAATTGTTATATATATTCGAAGACAGAGAGTCGAACTGGAATTCAACCGTAAACCGAAATTAACCGGAATTTTTCACTGAACCGTAACTGTAACTCTCTCCAGAAGCAACGTTCATTGGAATTGTTATATATATATATATTCGAAGGCAGAAAATCAAACCGTAAACCGAAATTAACCGGAATTTTTCACTGAACCGTAACTGTAACTCTCCAGAAGAAACGTTCATTAGAATTGTTATATATATATTCGTAGACAGAGAGTCGAACTGGAATCGAACCGTAAACCGAAATTAACCGGAATTTTTCACTGAACCATAACTGTAACTCTCTCCAGAAGCAACGTTCATTGGAATTGTTATATAAATATATATTCGAAGGCAGAGAGTCGTACTGGAATCAAACCGTAAACCGAAATTAACCGGAATTTTTTACTGAACCGTAATTGTAACATGAGTAGCAGTGAATTATGTATGTGCATTTTTTAAATTTCTCCATAAATGTTTTAAAATGTTTTCATGTGTAATTTAATCATTTATTTTGTTTGGATGCACTTTCTCATATATTTCATAAATCTTTGACGTATTTTCTAAGTGCGATTTTTTCTCAATTGTAGAAAGTTATTTGTTATATACTAACTTTTTTCCCCAATTGTTATTATTTCCAAAAAATATTAATTTGTACCTTCTTCAACACCAGAAAACGCTGTATTCTATTTTTTGTTTATTTTATTTCACTTTCATCGCTTTTCATGGGGTTCGCGTCGCGCCATCCGCAATGACGCTAAATTTAATATTAACCTATCAATTGGATGGTTTTACATCGACGCTGGCTCTCAAGGCCAGTCTCTGTCCATTACGGAATTACAGGACGAATAACACGTATATTCATCAGACGAATGGATGTTGTTTTCAACATTAAATTTGTATCTGCTGGCAGCTAGTTTAGGGGAGCGGTTGCATCGTAAATTAGTGAAATTGATTAAATTTCGAGTGTCGTTCGATGTGTATGCATCATTAAAAAGGAAATAAAATATGAGACATTTTAACTGAAAACGGCTTCTCTGCATATAAATTTTATTGGATGATTTATTAACATCAATATTGATTTTCGCGCATAGCCGCAGCGGGTATTCCCAGTAATAAAAAAAAAGGAAGCAAACGAATGGACACTTTCCATTCAGCCGATGGAACGAGATCATAGAAAAATATAATTGTATTTTTTGATAAATGAAAACACATAATCCAATAAGACATTACACGAATTTTAAAGATGCGAAAAACGTGCACAAAGAGTATAATGGTTGTATCAACCTCTTGAGATAATCGCCACCAAAACTGAGAGGTTTGTTACAATTTTCTCTATTCCCTCGGGGAACAAGTCCGTATCCCACGTATTATCCCAATGCTGATACTAATGCTGCAAGTGCTCTCCGGGGATTGCATGCAGTTGAAACGAGAGAAGTCTACTCATATCCTATTTTAACTGGTCAGGTAGATGCTCAAAACAAGAAATTCGAATGGTATAGATTTATTCCCACATCTAGTATAGGGGTGTTCGTAAGTCGAATTTGTTCGTAAGTCGGGGGAATTAAAAAAAAAATATATATATATATGTTAAATTCCGTATGAAAAAATAGATTAAAATGAACAGAATAAGTCCAGGAGTTCGTAAGTCGGGGATATTTGTATACTCATAATTGTAGTTTTAAGAATAATATTATTAATTAAAATTAATGTGTGACTTGTCTAAAAATATATTTTAGTAAATGAAATATCTTAAAATGATGATTTTATATCTATTTGTTGAAGTTGGATGTTGGATGACAAAAGTAAAGCCCGAAATATGGGCATAATAAAAACAATGGAAATAAGTGAATATTGTAACAATTTCGGATGAGGGACGGTACCGGATTGTCCCTAATCATGAGATTACCTCATGTAGCTTGAAATGTGAAATGCAAAATGTGCGTAGGAAGTTATTCAATCTGCGGAGATTCTGGATAATGTTATTTATATGGGCATTTGAATAGAAATGGGTTTCAGCGTTTTGTTCATTTCGGCGAGACGTAATAGTTTCGTTTGAGGGATGCTCAGGAATGTAAATGAAGAGCAGCGAAATTCGCCGGGGGGGCGTACGTATGTGCAGCGTGGGATGCAGTCGGCTGCGGGCGTTTTAATAATGAGTTCATTTTTATAATACAAGATTAGTTGTGGGTGGCGGTGTATACTGGGGTGTTTAAATGACAGTTGTAAGAGGAATGAATTACGACACGACGTGAAGTACTTCATGGATCGTTTAACTGTATATGAGTGGATGGGGTTGGTTGGAAGTCATGGTAGGCACTGAAGACTATATACTATTCTTCTTCATGAGTGGGCGAAAGACCCCGTGTACGGCTCCTGATTCTGGTGTTGGACCCGTTGGCGCGATGTCCTAGTCCCAGTAGCTAGTGATCCGGTCATGATGCGACATGCGAGGGCGCCTGCGTTAGTATTCATTGATCTGCGGGAGAAGAAGCCGACGTAAGCTAGGACGTGCCTCGCGTGGGATGCTGCAGGATTGCGGGGGAGATGGCCGTTCCAGGAACCCGTCTGCGCGCACCTCCGGCACCCCCATGTGCCTGCCTACCCAGCATCCCTGAATCGGGCTGACGAGCAGTGGGCTCGTGGTAGCGCAGTAGCACTTCGGCGGAAGAGCATCCGACTCGCAATGGCTTCAGTATACGAGTGTGCAAAGTAGGCACGAGATAGCATATAAACATGAAATAACTAAAAAAAAAAGAATCAACCACTAAAATCACATTCCGGTTAAATAAATTAAACAGCAATATATGTATATACGTGTGTATGTGGGGTACGTATACTGAATTATACTGATACTGATGTACATAGGTATATATGCATATTCGATAAACAACAGAAAATAAAGTACTGAACCGAATAAACCTAACAAAATAACAACAAAATATTAATAAACAAAAATATAAAACGTCTCGCATCACACGCATACACATAAACCGATCGCTCTCATAAAGTGCACAAATATAATTCGACTCTAACCGGAAGGAGCAAGAAGAACAAGCGAACAAACGTAAGCTGAAATATTATACATCTTTAAAAAAAAACAATCTGTTAAACCATCAATTACATAAACAGAAAACTTAAATAAATAAGTAAAGAGAACGGTATTTTAGACCTTAACCTGAGAATCTAATCAACAGAAACGCGAAACCAGTAACAAGTAACCACTTTAATCTAAACGGAAACCTAAACGTAAACCAAGAAAAGATACAGATAAAAGAGAAAGATCGCAACTCGACATCGCCATCAATATCTCGAAGATCCTTGCAACCATCACCAATGGACAGTGGCATGCAGCAAAGTCACTTGACGCGAGCTCTGACGCTCTTTGTCCTCGCCTGGCTGTCGCTACCAAACGGTAAACAAACAATTCTGCAAATCATCAGCCATCTTGTATCCAATATTTTCAGTCATTACACGATTAGAGGGTTTTTATAAAAATCGAACTCGAAAATGGCGCTACCTGAATTCCAATTTATAATCGACTGATTTCCTTGTGTTCTTCTGTTCATCTGTTCCTCCACACAGAGACCGCGGCTGGGTCCAACGAGAAGAAGCTTCTCCACAAACTCCTAGATTCCTACAACGTCCTCGAGCGGCCCGTAGCGAACGAATCGGACCCTCTGCAGCTTAGCTTCGGCCTCACTCTCATGCAGATAATCGACGTGGTAAGTGATCCCACGACGAATAACAAACAAATCGGAAATGATCGAATAATTAATGTATGGACTCAACAAATAATTTGTAAATTTCAGGATGAGAAGAACCAACTACTTATCACCAACATATGGCTGAAATTGGTAAGATCGTTGGCATAGTTGCGTAACGGGTTGGTCACGATTAGTTTTGCAGGAATGGAACGACATGAATCTGCGGTGGAATGCATCGGAATATGGGGGAGTGAAAGATTTACGCATCCCCCCACATCGATTATGGAAACCGGACGTTCTTATGTACAACAGGTAAGCGGATTCAAATGTAAACTTTGTCGCATTAGGATTTCCTCAAATTTTCCAAATATAAAAGAAAATTCATTTAAAACTTACGTCACGGTAGTAAATTATCTTTTATGTAACATTTCGGTAGTGGAAGGAATCGTTGAAACGGATACTTTTCAATTATCTCGGATCTTAGGCGGATATGACATTTAATCGAGTAGACATTTCAATCGATGATACATACATTCAGCAATTGAAACACTGAAGTATTTGTTCGCTCTTTTTATCTAATTCAAGTATGAATTCCCATTGAATCACAATTATATCAAAGATTAAATTCAATTGCGTAATTTAGATTCCAATTGATATTACCACACAAAGAATTACATAATGTAGCATAGAAAAAGCTTCAATAATACTTTTATTTAACAATATTCCGCAATAGAAGCGAGAGAACCGTAATAATATATATAATGGTCAGAGTGACTTAAGTATATTTCAGTGCTTTAAACTAATTTCTGCTCTTAGATTGTGTCCGATAAATAAGGTAAGATTAAATATAATTATTTCCATAATTTATATTTAATATGTTTTATCATTATTTTATTAACTAATAGACCATTGTTTATCAAAGAATATTTTGTTTCAATTAGGTTTGAAGATAAACTGGACAATTATTAAAATTTGTTATTCATGCCTAATTTAAAAACAAACGAAGTGACCTCGAGAGACTAATGCGGTCATTTGAGAGCAATGTAATTTTAGGCTTAAGTGTTTTACGAGTTCAAAAACGTTTGTTAACCCTCGCATACCGCCGCCGTTTAGTAACTAGGTCTCCCTAAATTCGGACTCCAATGATTCCAAAAACTCGCCGCATACATTATTTATGTTGCTATTTCACAAAATGAACGCACAAACCTTCCTTTTTTTACTTCAAGTTATGTACGAGGAAAGTAGGTTAAAATAATTGAAGTTTTAATTGAAGTTCATATTTATTACACACCTAGTACTCAATTGTACGGTTATATCAATGATGTGTATGTCGTTGCTACCATGGTATACGATTGGTTCGTACAATTAATACCTAATTTCAGTGCCGATGAAGGTTTTGACGGAACTTATCCAACAAACGTTGTAGTCCGGAACAACGGGAGCTGCTTGTACGTACCACCTGGTATATTCAAGAGTACCTGCAAAATCGACATCACCTGGTTTCCGTTTGATGATCAACGATGCGAGATGAAGTTCGGCAGTTGGACTTACGATGGATTACAAGTAATATAAATATGCTGGAAGTTGCATAATAATCTGGTTTTTCTTTGTCATCGCATAGCTTGATTTGCAATTACAAGACGACTCAGGTGGCGACATCAGCAGTTTCATAACCAACGGAGAATGGGATCTACTAGGTAAGATTACTTTGATTTTTCTGAATAATTGGGTAAAAATAATGGACATCATGCGCAAAATTCTGAAACGATCGATGTCATTCGCTTAAACGTTATTATATGCAACGATAATTGAAACGTTACCTAACTGTTTAATTTAGTGTTGTTCAACCTATTATTGGTCTGAAGGCACATTTGAACTTATAGACAAAAATTTTTGGAAAATTTAAGAAACAATGTGTTTTAGACTTCATTGGAAAATAATTTAAATAATGAGGCACATCGTTTGAAAATCACTGATTTAATCGTTATTCGTATATAACTATTGAATATATTGTATATCTCCAAGTGACGCCATGCGCACAAACTCTATATTCCTGCGTCGATCAATGATAGCACTGAGTTTTGAGAATGTTTTAAAATTTGATTTAACTTTTGCAGTGTTAAAATTTATTTCCTAGTGACAAGTAACAATAAGTACATCGATTAAAAATTTTATGTACAAAATGCAGTATCTGGAGTCATTGGGCAAAACTGCGATATTAAATTTTTATCATCAAATGTTCAGTATCTATTTGTAGGCTAATCTGGACTAAATCTCTAAAATGAGTTTTATGAGACTATGCCTGCCATGTTAACGTTTTTAATGCAAGCCCTGCAGTATTCCTTTTCTTTTTACGTAGCTTTAGTGGAGGTGAATGAGGTTGACGTGGGGTGCATTTTGCAGGCGTGCCCGGCAAGCGGAACGAGATCTATTACAACTGCTGTCCTGAACCATACATCGACATCACGTTTGTTATCATCATCAGAAGACGGACTCTTTACTACTTCTTCAATTTGATCGTGCCGTGCGTGCTGATCGCGTCGATGGCCGTGCTCGGATTTACCCTGCCACCGGACTCTGGTGAGAAACTGTCCCTAGGCGTCACCATTCTGCTGTCGCTTACGGTGTTCCTGAACATGGTGGCCGAAACGATGCCAGCCACTTCCGATGCGGTTCCTTTGCTCGGCACATACTTCAATTGCATCATGTTCATGGTGGCATCGTCCGTGGTGTCCACGATCCTCATATTAAATTACCACCATCGCAATGCCGACACCCACGAAATGTCGACTTGGGTGAGTGAACTACAACTAGTTGACTAACTCAACTCTGGATTGGATTGGATAAATGCTGACTCTGTCGATTCGTTACAGATCAAGGTCGTCTTTTTGTATTGGCTTCCGTGTATCCTGAGGATGAGTAGACCGGGCACTTCGCCGTCCTGCGATTACGGATCGAGTCGGCCGGCGTCCGTCACCACCGACCGTAAGCCGCTGCATTTTCAGGACGTGGAATTGAAGGAGCGTTCGTCCAAGAGCCTCTTGGCTAACGTCCTAGATATAGATGATGATTTCAGGCACAATCATCATCGCGGCGGAGGCACTCCGACGCCTTTGCCAACTGCAGCATTCTTCCGCACTGTCTACCGGTGAGCATATCTATCTCCATCACCCCTTTCCGTTATCACTTTCTTGTTTTCTTATTTCTGATAGACAAAACGAGGATAATGGTAACGGCGGCAGACTGCATGAGTCGCTGGTGTCGAACCACGCCTGTATTAGCGCTGACTACGAGCTGGCCTTGATCCTGAAAGAGATCCGCTTCATAACCGATCAACTGCGGAAGGACGACGAAGCCGCCGACATCACGAGGGACTGGAAATTCGCTGCAATGGTGGTCGACAGATTGTGCCTTATTATATTCACTCTGTTCACGATCATCGCGACTCTCGCTGTGCTGTTCTCAGCACCGCACATTATAGTCTCGTAGCCGTAGCGGGCTCGTAGGATGATCAGACCCGGGTCCCAGCTGGGACCCCACCGGATCCCCATCGGCCCTAGACGGAAACAATTGATGCCGGAACGGCAAACAACGCATGCGGCAGCGGACACCAGCTTAGTCCAGCCCGACGACTCTGGATGGCGTCTACTCTCTTTATTATATCCGTATCAGTATCGATCCCGACGCTCGGGCCATCAAAAACAGATCAAACCCATCAATAGCTGGCAGTCATTTTATACGGAAATTTTGGTTTTGTATAGTGTTCTTTAGGGTATTAACACAATCATACTGTGATAAATCAAAGTTAAATGTTGAGTTTCAAACGTTTTACAAACACACGCGTATTACGCACTTACGTGCGCTGCTGATGTAAAGAAAAACAAAATGCTCTCGAAAGCAGTAACAAAACTAACAGAAATGGGACAAAAGTTCGTTATCCGTTGCCAAAAATTCCGAGATGCGTACTATAACGTTCTCAATTTTACGTTCCCACGGGTGTTACTAGTTAGATTTTCATTATTTTCGTTGAGAGCAGACTTATGGAAAAGTATTATTATACAACAGACAATACCAAATTTAAATTGCGACAAATCGACGGATGGATCGGATTTATGACGCAGCGTTCGCGTGTCTTTACAATTGTGAATGTGCAATGTTTAGTCCGCTGTGCGCAAAGAGCTACACGACTGTAAAATTATTATCTTGGTGATGGTCAGTAGTTCAGCGCAAAGCATTGTTAATGTCATTTTATATTTATTGATGACATGTAGAGTCTATATTTTTCTCACAGGGATTTAAAAAAAAAAAAAAGGAAAAGGGAATAAATTATATTATATAAAAGATAATAATTTTACGTATTAATAATCGATCGGCATAATAATAACAAGATGAAGCGGGAAAGTTATGAAAAGTTATCTTTGTTTATGAAGGATTTTTTATCAAGTGAAATGAAATGAGGACGACGCAATTGCTGTGAGATGTTTTTTTTTTCGAAGCTTTACCGGAAGCAACGCAACATCAACAAGAAATTTAATCAAATAACATTTGATTTTGCGTTTCTCTCTCTATATATCTTTCTTAACCTCCTCAGCGTAATTAACGTTTATTTTTCTTATATTTTGTCCGTCTAAGTAGTAATCGTCATCTATCTATCTATCGTCTAACTTCTTTCATTCTCGTGTATATAACATTAATGAATTTACATTTAGGCCACATCGCCGATACTGCAAATGATCATTAAGTGGAGTTCGCGCAGATGCCCGCCTCGCAATTTCCGATCGTTTATATTTTTCCTCTTCATTTCCGGCTTCCAGAAGGAAGGAAAAAAATGAAGAAGAAAAAAAAAACAGAATTATCTAACGTAAATCAATCGATATTATTCTGAGCGCTTAACGTCAAATCCAAGATCGGCACAAGTGATTAGGCGTTACGTGCCACACGGTGACACATTAATCCAGAGACCGCAACATCGGGATATCAAGTTCGATTTAGTTTTCGACTTGACACCGCGACACTCATTGCTGACGAGAGGTCTCGGCTCCTCGATCGATTTTTAATTTTTTTACTATGAAAAGGGAAACGTGTATATATACGATTATATAAAAGTAAAATAACATCTGATTGATGGTAATATTATGGATTACGGGAAGTTGCTCAAAACAAATATATATATATTTACACACATATATATATATAGTGTAAATTGAAAAGATTGTTAAAATTGGGGAATCGACACCGATCGCAATGAAGGAACCCTTGATGATGAAGAATCGTGGGAATAAGCATAACCGATTGATTTATGTTATTAATATATTAACTGGAGAAATTGCAAGTTTCAAATGTAATGGTTCTATTTTTTACGCACCCGGAGACATCGTAATAATAACAATGTATCTCTCAAGCTATGCGAACAACTAATTATTAAGACATATCTCTTCTGAGATACGGGTGCGTAAATTTCTGGATTCGTATTCATACTTTAGTTGTTGTTTTTTTTTAGCTACAAGGTAACTCTGGACGAATAATGTTTATAAGGACGAATGGTTCTTGACGCGACAAAATCGCTTCTCTCGGTCCAGGGCGTTTGATTGGATTGGACAATCGCCCTGAACCGCGTCCTAGCGTCATCTATCTCTCTTAATAAATTGAATGTGGTCTTGATACTTGAAGGTTTAGGGCCCGAAGGACTTCCGCGGCGGACGGCACCTATATACACACCTCTACGCCGCTGCCGCACGACTTCCCTCTGGCCCTTTCACTGACTTGATTGCAAATCTGTTTCTATGATATTCATATTATAATAATAATAAATCTCGCATACCATTGTTATATAAATAAAGATAAATCCCCCCATAAAGATTGATACACACACACATATATGTATATATGAAAATCGGCAAACAGACGATTTGAAAATTAACAAAATAAGAAGAAGCGAAGCGAAGTGAAAATTAAAATTTAAAGTATTAAACAAAAGGAAACTGTTAAATGATGCAAAAAAAAAATTAATAATAATATTAAATAATATTAATAAATAAAACATAAATTATAAACAATTTGAATAATCGACAATCCATATATGGTCGCTAAATGAAGGAAAATGGCAAAAAAAAAATTCTTCGGTGTAATTTATGAAAATTTGTGAAAATAATAATAAAATAAATAAACGAAGAAAGAGGATATTTGTTTGATCCGAAATTTGTTGAAAAATTGTGTCACAATGGATTGTACTTTGTTAAATGAATTTAAAATTAAACAATAACATATTGGATACATCTGGAAACTTTTTTACTGTTAAAATCACCTATTTACTTTTAGTTTTCCTGACCAATTCTCCTAGATTCTCCAAATCTAGAATGTTTTCTTATTATTGGATAACATTACTTACGCACAAATCCTTGTCCATATTCCTTTCATTATTCTCTTGCATTAGTTATAATTTTATACATTGTCTATAAAAAATGAATTTAGTTAATTAATATATTATATTATCAAACAGAAATCTACTCTTGATCTCTTCATTGAAAAGCTTTTTAAACTATCACCTTTTACATTAATTACGTGTAGCATACACATTTCATTGAGAATGGGTGCAATTGTGGATGCTTGTAGATTTTGTTTGTGTGAATTGCATAGATTCATATTTTAAAGTATTTAAAAGAAGTGTCAAGTGTTAGTGCTGTTGTGTATTAAATCTAATCCATATTTAAGTCCATAGCGTCTGTCCTTCAGTCTTTCTGAATTTATTCGCATCCCCTAAAAGCAGTGAATATCAATGATCATCCAATAAATGGATGTTGTTTGCTAATAAATTATATGCAGTGGCACGTATTGTGGCGGAAAATGCATATGGCCGTTAATTCATCCCCTTTTACTTAGACGCCACTGACAAAGGATCGGCTTGCGCGTACTGTAAATCGATAGCGGGTGGGATAACGACGACGATTGGCTGCGGGGGTGGATTCTGCGCTCTAAATGGTCCTGCCATCTAGACACAAATCTGAAAATTATTCGCGAGGGGGTGGTGTCGCGCGACGTTCCACGCCGTTTTCTCAGTATGGAAAGGAGGGTGTGTTTCAGCACTTAACGGGTCCTTGATAGTACTTCTGGCAATGTTCGCGAAAGTGCAGAATGTATCGTGTGGATAGTGGTGGCAGGAAGACGACGAAACACGGCACCCAAAGTGTGGCGGTTCGCGCCCTCCGGTCGGATCGGGCCATGGACTTGTCTTCTCTCGCCCGCATCCGATGATCCAATAATCTCCAAAGTGAGAGCGAGATGCTCGCGATGTGGGGATCGCCGACCCTGCGGCTCTTCATGATCCTGACTTATCTCTTCATCAAAGGTAGGAAGCCTTCGTCGACCGGCACACCCACAACTTCCATAACCACGCCGAGTGACATGTAAACACTGCCCCTCCCCTCTCAAAGAAACAAAGAATTCCCGATTACTGCGAAGAACAACAGTACTTCCAAAATGAATGCATACGCTTCCTTTCAGGCGATTGCTCCGAAGATGAAGAGAGATTGGTGCGCGACTTATTCAGGGGCTACAATAAGCTGATTCGCCCCGTCCAAAATATGACCGAGAAAGTGGACGTCAGATTTGGTCTCGCCTTCGTCCAGTTGATTAATGTGGTAAGTAGGAGAGTAAAGTGCAGAAGGAATTATGATCCTGATCTCGAATAATTGCATCTTCTATTTGCGTGCTTGCAGAACGAGAAGAACCAAATCATGAAGTCCAACGTTTGGTTAAGATTGGTAAGTGTTTCCGGTCATTCACCCAACGTTTATTCCCGCATAATGTTAATTTTTAGGTATGGAACGATTACCAATTGCAATGGGATGAGGCTGATTATGGAGGCATAGCTGTTTTGCGATTGCCCCCGGACAAGGTCTGGAAGCCCGACATCGTGCTGTTCAATAAGTAATCGGACAGAAATCGAAGCAAATCCGTAGAGAATTATTAAAGTAATAAATATTTATCATTTCCAGTGCCGACGGTAATTACGAAGTCAGGTATAAATCGAACGTGTTAATTTATCCAAACGGCGAGGTGCTCTGGGTGCCTCCTGCCATCTACCAAAGCTCCTGCACCATCGACGTGACGTACTTTCCGTTCGACCAACAGACGTGCATAATGAAGTTTGGTTCCTGGACGTTCAACGGAGACCAGGTTTCCCTTGCGCTCTACAACAATAAAAATTTTGTTGATTTATCCGATTATTGGAAGTCCGGCACGTGGGACATCATCGAAGTGCCCGCCTACCTCAACATTTACGAGGGCAATCATCCCACCGAAACGGACATCACCTTTTATATTATAATCCGGCGGAAAACCTTGTTCTACACAGTTAATTTAATCCTTCCCACGGTGCTCATCTCGTTCCTCTGCGTCCTCGTATTTTATTTGCCCGCAGAGGCCGGCGAAAAGGTCACCCTTGGCATCAGCATTCTGTTGTCGCTAGTGGTGTTCCTGCTGCTCGTATCCAAAATCCTGCCACCCACCTCGCTCGTATTACCTCTCATTGCCAAGTACCTACTTTTCACATTCATCATGAACACCGTCAGTATTTTAGTCACCGTTGTTATAATTAATTGGAACTTTAGAGGTCCACGCACACACAGGTAATGTCGCAACGAAAAGATCTGCAGATACTGATAGTAGTCGCAAAATTCGCAGAATGCCTTCGTGGATCCGGTCAGTATTCTTGAACTACCTGCCGGCGATGCTGTTGATGAAGCGACCGAGGAAGACACGACTGCGATGGATGATGGAGATGCCAGGGATGGGTGTACCGCCTCACCCGTACGGCTCGCCTGCCGACATACCCAAGCACATAAGGTTTCTTCTTCACTTTACTCCGTTCATTCGTTCTCATTGTGGACGACGTTAATCATTTTCGGTTTTAGCTCAATCGAGTCTCAAAGCAAAGTGGAAGTGATGGAGCTGTCCGACCTGCACCATCCCAATTGTAAAATAAACAGAAAACTGAATACCGAAATCGGGGTTGGCGTGGGTGCGGAAAGTTGTAGGCGGGAAAGCGAAAGTTCCGATTCCATACTTCTCTCCCCGGAAGCTTCGAAGGCTACCGAGGCTGTCGAGTTCATCGCCGAACATCTGCGCAACGAAGATCTCTACATTCAGGTCTGTACTACTAACCTTAAGTTCTACTTGTTTTCGTTCCCTCAACATTGCATTTGTTTTTTTTTGTCATTGCGTGTACAGACGCGCGAGGATTGGAAGTACGTTGCGATGGTGATCGATAGACTCCAACTGTACATGTTCTTCATAGTCACGACTGCCGGAACTGTGGGAATCCTAATGGACGCTCCTCACATCTTCGAATATGTTGATCAAGATCGAATCATTGAGATTTATCGCGGCAAATAGGGGCGCACATGCCCAAGAATAGAAACAAACAAAAGTAATAATAATAATAACAATAGAACAGAATCTGAACGTATAAGTATAACATGGCTTCCTAATAGCTGGCAAAAATCATGTGGCTTCCATGGGACAGCACACAGAGCATTAATCTTCATGTTGTGGTTATTTATTCCGGATTCTTCTAGAGCGCCTCTACGTGATGGCTGCACGATATCTATCATCATCTATATAACTCATCATCTTGTTCCTTGTATTATTTTTGCCGAGTGACAATCGACTTATTATTACCATACCATAATAATAATAATGATAACTAAATACCAATCCCCGTTACTGGCGGTTATCAAAAGCAAATGGAAACGGAGAACATAAGAAAATGGAAGCTGATCCACAACTGTGATCGCGGAATCCCGCGAAAATGGCTCGCACACTTCAAAACTTAATAATTAAATAAACATTAACCAAATTCATCTCGAATTCGGTCGGTCCAAATTATACCGGGGGAAACTATAATTGGGAGTAATCGATTACGTAATCTATTGGAAAGGTACAAACGTTCAAAGCAAACGCTAACCAAACTGAAACCAAAGTAATAAGTAAGTAAGTCAAAACGTGTTTAACCAACTTCGATTAATTTTTAAATATTTCGAAATAAGGGAGCAGAAACGCCAACGCTCTTCGTCTATTAATGCAAATCAAAGTAAACAAAGCAAAAGAAATATCGCAAAGAAAATATATAATTAAAATGTTGTTATGTAATGGTTAGAGATTCGGTAGCCAAAGCTCAAGTCACAAAATTAATTTTAAACGTAAAACTTATATATATATAGGTACAAATATATATATAAAGAATCGATAAAAAAAAAGAAGTGAAGAGTCTTAAGTAAATGTATGAAATAGAGACTGCATCGTTTGCGAAAGCCTATTAACCAGGAATTTAACAGTTGCATTCAACATTGAAGACAGAGAAAAGTAATAAAGTTGTAATATTAATTTAATAATAATAATAATAACGACGTACTGCATTTTCGTGTATCGTTTTTTGTATGTTTATATAATGACGCGACTGCGTTTTGTAAAGTAAAAAAAAAAGGACATATTATATAATAATATTAATAATTATAAATAAATAATAATGATAATGCCACACCTAATAATAATAAAGGTAAAATTTAATGCGTTCGTTGTTGATGATGTAATACAATAATATAGACTGATGCGGTTAGCTTACGATGCGATTCGGGTCGACATTTTTTCAGTTTCTTTCCGTTTTATTTGTCGCGGCGACAGGACTTATGTTCATTTTGTTAGTAGCTGATTCCGGCCTATACAGTTTCGTATAAAAAGGAAGCAACATGTAAGAAATATATAAACGTACGACAATTATTGTTATATATTTACATATACATATTATACATAATATATAATAGTTTTGATTATCTTTATTCGGAGCACGGGAGATAATTCGAAATAGTGAAACTGTGGACCCACACACACACTCACACTGGGATGAGACATGAATAGACACGTTCCATAACTTCGCAAATTTACAAATTTGATAAACCCCACACGTTATATAAATATATATATATGAAATGCATAGCAGGAAGGGGAAGGTGCTAAGGGTTGTTGTTGCCGAAGAAACATGGGTAACAAGTAATTAACACTGTCGTACTAGATTAGATGGATACAGTGTTAGACTGTAGGCTGCGCTTGCTGGGTGTCCCACGGGCCACACTCCTTAGGGCATCGCGGCTGATCCACAAATTATATAACAAAATCGTAAATAATTAATATAAATAGAATAATTTTTATTAGATATTAATAGAATTTTACATGCAGATAGTGACACCAATCACTTGTACATAGAAAAGAAATGTGTGAATTGATGTTCATATATTCTTATTATTACAAAGATGGGAGAAGGAGAATATTAGATGGAAGTAGCATAAGGTATATGGTAATATTACAGTGAAACTCCAGAGATCGCTCATATTTGCTCAATAACAAACATCTAGATTAATTTAAGCTGTATGCCAGAGATAGAGAGCGAGGAGAAAGGAGGAGCATGTATTCGGAAGAAGTCGGCGTTCAGACCATTTCCACCAATCACATGCACAAAAGCAAAATCCTCACAAATTATTCAAATATAATTAACAATATTAATCTTAATTGTATATTTAAAATTATAATAATATTGACGATTTCCCCGCATATTATTCACGTATTTAAAGAAATAAAACGACCGAAACGACCGTTTGGTCTTTTCTTTTTTTTATTAGTTGGGTGTCGTATGATTGTATATTGAATGGTCTTCCAATTCTTAATATTGTTTATTGAATATTCGATATCTGAAGTGTACGTATTTTAATTGAGAGAAAGAGTGAAATATACGAAAGGAGAACGGTAACGAACACCTATAGCATCCCTGTGACTCCCCTAATGTATTTTTAAGCAACCCAAGTAATGTATTGCGCGTAAGGATCATTTAACGTATATATACATATATATTTATGTATATAGTATTATTGTTATTGCAGATCTAAGGTTTGTAGGTATAATCGGAGGGAGACGTACCCGAAACCCGAAATGAAGAAGGTTTTTAGTATATGATATTATGTACTGTATAGCACTGCCTAATGTGTTTCAGCACATAATCGCTTGGAACACCTATTGACTATTAATACAATAAAGAACAAATGAGAATGGACATTATAAAATTTTGAAAACTGAAAATAATAATTTAAATAATAAAAGAAAATCAAGGGAGAAATAGAGAGAGAGGAAAAAAAACAAACAAAAGTGCTCATCTATATGTTGAATATTATTTTTAATAAAACCAAATTAAAATAAACAAAACGACACAAAATATCTGATGTACCGGTCAAAGGCATTTACAAATAAATTGACGCAGAACAATTGTTATCATTATATATTCGATAATTATTTCAAACTGTTTCCCCGTAATAATGGGCGTTCGGGGCTATGCCAACGACAAAAATAGCCCCGACCCAGTGCTCCTTTTTGGCTGATGCCTGTTATCTTATTTGTTTATTATTTTCTCTTGTTGTTGTTGTTGTCATTGTTTTAAAGCACGAGTCGCCGCAGGAAGACAACAACAAGTAAACAACCACGTTTCCTAAATTCTAGACAAAAGTCGATGGAATCGGCAGTGGCCGCGACTTCATCGATTTTTGTGTCCCCGTAGTTCAAATGTACCATCTGATTAAACCCTATTTCAATCCGAACTGTATGCAGAAATAAATGTCTGATTTGCCTTTGTACAACAACAATATTTACATCATTCAACAACCCATGACTAAATCACTTTAGTTCCTTTAATCTCTTGTTGGCGTTCTCCATGGATTTCAGACAAATTCTTGTAGTAGTTCCAAGTGCCTCAAAAGTAGAACAATTAAATGCCTAAAAATATATTTCGACGCAGATCTACAAATGGTTATTTGTGATCAACTCAATCGAATGCACTTACTTACTTTTTATTTGTTCTACTGAAAGTTTTATGCTAACTGTTTTCACGGTAAGTATAAAAAAAACGAATTATTAACTGAACTTGTTATATTTAACATTATGATTGGTCATAATACATAGTTATAATATGTAAAGACAACTTTAATTGTATGATTTATGGTATTAAGGTAAATTGTCTAATTAAAAATTTGAAAAATTCAAATTACATTTTGTTTAAGATTTAATTAATCTGCAATGCATGTTTATCCTAAATAAATTAATTTTGTCCAAATATCTGTATTTGTGCTACAGGAACATTTGTTATTAATATTAAAACCAATTTATTTAGAGTTCTGGAACATTGTAACAAATATCGGTCTATAGCAGGGGTGGCCAGACTCTCCTAAATTTTAAGTGAATGTTTGTTATTTAGAACTCTAGGTAATTGCAAATCTGTAAGTGTAACCGCTTCTCACAATTAGATGGCACAATGAAATTGTCTTATTTAAATCTAAATACAAAGTTTGGTATTTTATAGTATATCCATTTGTAGGTTGATAATATAATCAAATGTAATGTTTAATATTTTTAACATCTTTGTATATTGTACCATATTTATAAAAGAAGAGATCATATTACAAAATATAATACAGTATTTAGTAGCATAAATGTTTTATCTTTCATAAATAGTGTTGTTTGAAGATATTCTTCTGTGATGAATCAATTAATAGAGGTTGTTACGAGCGCCATCTGACCATCAAAACAATCTGACACATGATGCCTAACCTAACAACTATAAATAAAATCAAAACATTGCAACTTGGCATTGAATTATGCATGGCAATGTTGGTTTGGTCATGAAAAATGTAAATAGGTGTGAGCATATTGTAAATACATTGCTGTGTGCAGCTAAAAATACAGACGTGCGTTTTACAGCATCCAACTAGCCTGATCCCTGCACTGAGAATAGTACCAAAACAGAGATATGCCTGGGAAGGTGAAAGTGAAGATCATATCCGGCAGGAACTTGCCTGTTATGGATAGGTCTAGTGATACAACAGATGCTTACGTAGAGATTAAACTTGGCAACACCACTTACAAGACTGATGTTTGTCGAAAGTCTTTAAATCCTCAATGGAACTCTGAATGGTATCGGTTCGAGGTAAGAAAGATTATTTTATCCTTAAACCTATTTCTGTATGAAGCAATCTTTCAGGTGGATGACTCAGAACTGCAAGATGAACCTTTGCAAATAAGATTGATGGACCATGATACTTACTCTGCAAATGATGCTATAGGCAAAGTCTATTTAGATTTAAATCCATTGCTATTACCTGCTGCTAGTTTACTGTTGAAATGGAATAAAGAAACTGGGAATAATCAGGAATCACCATCAAATTCAGTGATGTCTGGATGGATTCCTGTTTATGACACCATGCATGGAATTCGTGGAGAAGTGAATGTTGTAGTTAAAGTAGAATTGTTTTCTGATTTCAATAAATTCAGGCAATCATCCTGTGGAATTCAATTCTTTTGTTGTAAGATACAGATAAGCAAAAAAATATTAACTAGTTTTAATTATAATTTGTACATTTTAGCGCCTTCTGTACCTCACGGATATTATGCTCAAGTAGTTCACGGATTCGTTGAAGAATTAGTGGTAAACGATGACCCGGAATACCAATGGATTGACAAGATCCGAACGCCGCGAGCTTCAAACGAAGCCCGGCAAACGTTGTTTTTTAAGCTGTCTGGTGAGCTGCAGAGGAAGATTGGTGTTAAAACGTTGGACTTGGGTGGAAACGCTGTCGTTGGTTATATGCAAGCTTTTGATCTTGAAGGAGAGTCGGGAATAGTGGCTCGCGGCATCGGAACTGCAGTGACGCTTATAAAAATGATTGATATTCCCACCGAGATAAATCCTGAAACTGGAGCTGTTGAAGAGTAAGTATTGAATCAAATACTCGTGAATACTCACATGTCGAAATTTCATATAGTTAACTGCGAGAAGTGCAAATTAATGTATATATAACATTACCCACAACTAGTTCAAATTAGAATTGAAAGGGTAATTCTTTGGGTAATATAAATTAATTGTACCTTAGAACGAATTTATTAAGAACAATATATATATACGTACTTTCAGCAAAATCTACTAAAAGAACTTTACTAAGATATAAAAATAATTTACAAAAAAAATATTCTAGTATTTTTCATTGCTTAAACAATCAAATGTTTTGAATTAATTCTTACATGTTATTGGCAACTGATATTAAACGTTGCTTCAGTGTTGATGTCTTTAAAGTCTGACTTCCGGTTAATTTGGATGTTACATCAAGTAAACGGTAAGTCCATGCCGTCTTATCCATTAGACGCAGTGTCTAGAGCCTACGAGAATCTTTAATGCCCACAAAAATATATTGGAATTAGAATTCAATGAATATATCTAAAAGTCAGAGTCTGTTTCAAACAGTGCGTGATATTGCACTATGCGAGGTGATTGTTGCTGTATATTTCAATACAAATTTTCGTTTCAGTATTTTATTTTCTATGTCTAAATATTTTTTTCTTATTCACACGTCAACGCAATATTTTCAGCTAAAAGACATTTTATTGTGAACTGTATTAATTATGGTTCAAGTTTGTAAAGAAATGAAATCAAAATTATACATCAAATCAAATTTGCAAATTTTATATGTAATGTAAAATAAACATTATAGTACATAAATATTACATAAAAATACAAACATGTCCGGGATTATAGTGTTAATACGCTACGAATGAGCTACCTGGACTAATTACTTTTTATTTTTTGCATGTAGGCGTGCGCAGAGTTATCTGAAATTCCTTGGCTCGGCCAAAGGCTTTTTCCTTAATAGCAATTCCAATTTGTCTGTTGATAAATGTACTCCGCGAACCCCGATGCCTTCCCCTTCGCCCTCAATAAAATCTCTAAAATTTGAAATAATTTCCGAGTCGCCTCACCTAACGCGCCACCTATCTGATAGAGAATTAAATCCGAAATCGAATCCTCTCCACCATTCGACCTCGTTACAAACCCTCTTGAGACAGGAAGATTTGCGTGGAACCTCTAGTCCCGGCATTTCGCAAACCTTTAAGAACCTAAAATACACTTCGCGAAGTATGTTCAACAAGAGGATGGCTGTTTTGAAGGCTAAGATGAACGACGATGACTACGCTGTCGAGCCTGGTCAAAGGAAGTATAGGCGAACGCAAAGCGATTCCACCGGGATGGCGGAGATACTAGTCAGATCCGTTTTCCAAGCAACTTCTAGTATGGATTGCATCGCTGAAACACCGCACTTTGTTAATCCTCACATTGAAATAGAAAACGCTGAGGAGGCGAAAGGAGTGGAAAACGTGGTAGCCACATCGTACTTATCTCTACCAGACACCTCCATTACGCAATCGTCAAATGCTTCATCATCCTCATCAGATACGTCAAGCATCGACGAGGAGTCTGAAAACAACGAGCTGGACACTGTAAGTCATATTGTCGAGATCGTTAGGAAGCAGAGTATGATTAGGCCACATCTGCGCGTTGAAGACACTTTGTCAATGGTAGCAGCAGACTTAGAAAGTGACGACTTTAACACATCCGAGACCATTGAGCCTGACAATAGTAGCAATAATGATACACTCTCACTTGGAGGCGTTACACTCGAAGAAGAGCATTTTGACGACAATAGAATAGTCACAGCAGCTATTCAAAATATGTTACTTGATAAAGTTAAATTATTGAAAACGTATACCCCTCCAGTCAGTCCAACCAACGAAGAGTCTTTTTTCTGTCATATTTCTAAAACCTTTCAAAGCATGAAAAAATCTCCTACTGTGCAATCCCTGAGTAATATGGATAAGCCAAATTTGCTGGGAAGCAAATTCACCTCGTTACATAACATTCATGATGCTTCGTCCAGAATCAATAGGCACTCGATGCACAAAGGGAAAGAAACTGTTCTAGGAGAATTGTTTAAAAGAGTGGATTCAACTAATATAGTGCAATCTGATGAGGAACTTAAGAATAAGGGTTTTATGGAAAAGATTAAAGAAGGCAGTGAGAAAATCTTCCATGGTCCCAAAGCCCTATACCAGAGACTCGATTCGAAAATTCACAAGAAGTGCGAAGAAGAAATAGTACACAATGATTTGTTGGAGGCGGCTTTGGGAAACGTTTTAATGGAATCAATGAAAGATGTGTTGGTTACATCGCACGGAAACACTCAGCAGGATGACGCGATTATGCCATCTGTAAGCAATTCGGAACCTGAAACTCCGACGCCTACTGAAAAGAAAAGTTTTTTCAAAGGGAGTAAAGAGAAACTCCTAAAAGTTCCTAAAGTTCTTTTCCAACGACTCGACTCGAAAATACATAGGAAGGAACAGAGTCAAATAAAAAATGAGCATGGACTGCTAGGGACGGCGCTCGGAAATGTCTTGATGGACAGTGTCAATGAAATCCTTGCCACTTCTCAATCCCAAACACCCGATCCCCCTAATAATCGATCTAATTCTATAACCGTAGCGCCTGTCAATACGGAAATTGACACCGGCAATAGTGATAGCATTAATACTATGCATGCTTGCTTAACACCTCTTAGGAAACCGGAAATACCACCAACTGAAATACGCACAGATATTGGCCACCATAGGACCGAATCAATGGGAACACCGAAGATGTCCCATTCCCCGATCAAGCTAAACTCGTTACCATGCATTCATCGCCGTTCTTCCGACTCGGACCTCAGCATCACGCCAAAAGGTATTATAAGTATCACCTATGTATATAAAACTGGTCAGGCGTATGCATATGATTCCATTCATAAGTTGCACGTGATATTTCAACAGTTGTAAAATATATGTTTAAGAACATCTTTCAATGATATATATATATATACCTTACAATTTCATTTCACGGACCTAGTATACACTAAACTCATGCTTTTTTTCTTGGTTTGGTAAATTTCGATAATAGGATTCCGATTTAGGAAACGTAAGTATTAGAGGTTACCTTATATGTTCGTAAATTTGTTGTGATACTTGGACCGTTCTGATTCTTTTTACCGTTGCTTCCCCATCATTTACACATCGATTCGTTACTAAACTGCCCACATTTTAATAAATAACAATCCCAGGGAATGTGTTGTCAATAATTGTGTGTTTATGTAAAACCTAAAGGGAGTAGCTTAACAGGAAGCGATCGATCTGGAGCCGGGCAATACATGAGAAATGCCGTTCTCCGATCCACAGTACCGCCAGAAAATTTTGAAATCATGGAGTATCCGTTCCTTACCATGTCTAAGTACCCTGACGGATTCATATCATTCATTGGTAATTTACTATTACTTATTTTCATTTACGGCATTGACTATTACTATTTTATTATTAGGTGGTACAGTGAGTGCGAGATCAGTGAAGTTGCTTGAACGTATTTCCAATATTGATGAACCGGAATCAAGAGATACTTGGTGGTCGGAAATCCGGATGGAAATAAGGTCGCACGCGCGTGCTCTAAATTGCAACTCTGTATTAGGTTACACAGAAACCACCAGTATATGGTAACATGACTTCAAATTAAAACNNGTGAAGACGTTTGCGTCTTGAGTGCTGGAGGAACGGCGGCGATTATTGGATGTCCTTTATCCAGCGAAGCTTCAAATACCCTCTCCGGTCTTCCCGTCGTAACGAAACAGAGTAATAAAGAACCATTTGCTAATATTGATCGAAGCGAGGCGGAAAAAATACCAAAATCCGAAAACAATAAATCTGAGAACACCAGCCCTGAACGTGAAATTTTGCCGAAACAGGCCTGCAGCATTTGTCATCTTCCTTATCTGAGTAGCTCGATGCTTAGGAACTCAACTACCAAATGCATGTTATGTCGGTATGATCTTCATGTTTATTTAATGTTAAACATTTTGTTCACGTACTACTTTTTCAGCTCTGGAAAAGTGCCTGATGTTATGATCGCGACTGTTGAAGTTCCGGATGGCATACCCACCGTAGGCCGGGGCTGCTTCGTGCAATCCTATGTATGTAGACCGTTACGTGATGTGAAGGGCGAATCCTACGCAAAAGAAGTATCCGATGGTTTGCCGTTCTTGGAGTACGAGCTCCACAGGTTACTGATAAACAAATTGAAAGTGAAAGGCATGAACGCCGTCTTTGGCCTGAAGGTTCGGATATCTATAGGCGAACGGATGCTGGTCGGTATTGCCACTGGAACAGCGGTCTTCCTGTCGCCTCTTCCAGCTCCTCCGATGCCTAAGTTGAAAGCGGATCGCAACGCCGATGAGAACAAGATCGCCCAGCTTCAGAAGTCGCTGCAAGACACGGTCAAACTGAATAGAGAGATTTACCAAGTCATAAATATTGTAAGTGGAAATAAGACACTCATTTTAGTCTACGGTTTAATTAATTTTAGATTGAGCCTAATGGGAAAACTCAGTCAGATACTGATGATTCTGAAGACGAACAGGGTTCCCTCGATTTGTCAGTCGGGAACAAAGACTGTTGTATATTAGAGGTATTTAAATTCAATTTCGAGGGGTACATGTTTAAATTAACCGCTTTCCGTGTGTTTTGTACTAAAAAAACAATGTTGCGATCTGTGTTTTATCGACAAAACCATTTGTGGTTTTGTTTGTGTGATTTTAGGTGGACGATCCGGAGGACGTGGACGTGTTGAACTCCATTATGGAACCTCGACCGCCAGATGGTTTCCATGTGGTCAACACCGAGAATGTCCCAGGTCTCGAAGATCTTGAGATCGTCAAAAACCTTCAGATGTTCACACAGATATGGAGGGCCAAGATCCAGCCACCTTTTACACTCGACAAACACTTTCACCGTCTGCTTCAAAGCGTCTATTTCAAACTTCGCAGGATGATCCCATGCGCCCTCTGCGATCTTCAATTCAGAGTTGATTCTCCCGAGCCAGACGAAATTCAACTTTGTGTCTTGGGTAAGATCAATTTTAAGAAATTCATTAAATTATATATTTGAGGCTCAGATAAACTTGAAAGCTTAGACAAATATGTTACGGATTTGATTAATTTTATTAGGTATGGCGTTGGGTCTGGGTGACGTACCAAAGATTTCGAAGGCGAAGCGTAAACCCTTGACGAAGAAGCTGAACGGTAAGTGAGGCATTACCGAGATCCGCGTTGGTGTCAACTTGAAAATTAGTTTCAGACGACGATTTGATTTTTAATATGGAGGACGATCAAATACCGGAGAACAGCGTGGCGCAAACACCGCCGAGTACTAATTATTTGCTCACTCAAAGTCTAAAGCACCGCCAGAAATCGCCAATTAGGAACAGATTCGTAACGCGACAAAGACATGTAAATTGAAAAATCCGACCTTCTGAAAAGTTGGGCAAGAGTTGTTGTATGTTTATCCCCGTGTTTGGTGTGCTCTCTTTTTTTTTCAGTTACCTTACAAAGAGCGTCACGGCGTCGACATTACCCCTTTGTCCTACATCCCCGGCGGCAAAATTGAGAAATACTTGGGGAACCTTAATTTCTTTTTCATTAGGGAAACGACATCGATCAGAGAAGTGCGGGTTATATTTTCATTGAAACTGCTATGCAATTCGGTATTGGATCTTTTTGATTTTTAGGAAGGCGGATTAAGCGGTTTCATCCACGGCTTCATGACTGAGATCATGGCCATCGTCAGGGCTCATGTAACAGCATTAGGCGGGAATGCGATGGTGGCTTATTTCCTCACCGAGTGCGTTTTAAATCACAATTTACACAAAAACCAGGTGAGATTGCTTCCTAACTCTTTAAAAAGAATTGCCCATTTATAACCCATCACTCAGTCGTTTATTAACAGGAAGCTTTGTGTAATGAGAAACTCTACGAAATATTCCATTGTTTTTCTGTTTGCAAAAAAAAAAGGAAATTAATTAAATTCATGTGATAGACAAGTAATTATGTGGTTAATAAATAGTAGTGTTTCTGACACTTTGTCAATCCAAATTTCATGTCGCGTTTACGTTTTTCAGGGCCAATGCCTTATTAATGTAGGCGGGGATGTTGTCTACGTGTCCTACTACTCCGACGACCAATAGGAACCTCCACACCTCAAATACCTCAAAAGAAAAGAAAACCTTAGGGTTGTTCCCACTTGCAAGTAACAAAAAAGGAAAATATTATATAAATATTGTTCATTCTATAATTACTGAGATATTATTTTTTCATTGCCTCATGTGTGAGCGTGCGAATTGCATACATAAATATATCTATTTATGTAGGATATATCTATATAAAAAATATTTCTTTCATATAATTTTTTTGATCTCTTGAAAATTATTCATATTTTATTCGGCGAACATTATTTGTATTTTCAGTTTTAATAATAATTTTACATTTGTTTATGTAATCGCAATAAGAAAATCCTTATTTACACTTTTCTTTCTCTTAATGATTTGTTTTTCAGGAATTTCGAGTACAAACTTAATTACCGATTGCGAATAGAACTTTAAGTATCCTTGTATTTATAAACACAACAAAGACAAGTAAATGAATTCTAAAATAACAGCATTATTTTTTTTTTCACTTAACTATTCTCTTTAATCTGAATTTTATGAATGAGGTAAGATCATTTATATATTTCAAAAAAATGCATTGACTTTTGTTACTCAACGGTATATTCTTTATTAAATATTCGCCTATAATCAGGTATTTTAAATAGTTGTAGATCAATAAAGTACACGAAAACATGATTGAAGATGTTTGGGTAGATATTTGCTTTAAGTGATCTCAATTTGCAGATGGGAAGAATATTTGCGTCAGTTCCCTGAAATTCGCAATGAATGGAATATGGTCCTATGTGAATCTCAAGTGTTGTGGCTAAATTTGATTTTGAAATTGAACTGGGGATTCATTTCATTCGAAACAAAGTTTGGCAACAACGATACGCATCGAAGGTAGAAATCGTATTGTATTACCAGTACATTGTTTGTCAATTTGCGGGATTGGGAACTGGGAGCATTCGGCTTTCGGGGGTCGGGTTAATGAAAAAACTCGGTAATTGCTTTTTGTTTCAATATTACTTCCTCTTCATTTGGTTCACAAGCGCGTTAATTAGATTAGCAAGTACAATAAATTAAACAGATTCACTAATTACAATTATATATATATATTTGTATTTGCATTAGTATTAGTCTAGTAGGGTTCTAATTGAAGCGACGCTAATGCTAGTGGGTGGGTAGCGTGGATCAGTCATGTGCAGCTTAAAGTCCCATTCTCCTGCCGAACCTTAAGAAGACATGGTCTACATCCTGTCGCTTAATTCCGCGCTCGTACAGTTGGTTGTCCATGACGTCGTCTGTAAATGAAGAAAAAGTACGAAGTCGTAATAAATCACAATCAGACAAGGAAATCATGGTGGATCTTCTTACTGGAAACTTCCTGCGGGGCGTCCATGCGCTCCAACAGTGCAAAGCAAAGCTGTCTCTTCTGTAGCCCGTCGAGCGCGCTGGGCTGGCAGTAAATCAATGGCAAGTTCGAAGCCATCGACAAGTTCGAAGATGCCATCATAGCAACAAAGATGAAGGCAACGGCATAAACGGTGCACTGGTTCATTCTGAAAACAAAAACATAGTCGCTTTGCAATTATTTATTGAAATATTACTGGAAACGTAATAATGGTGAGCCTCGCCCTTGCTTTGCGGTTAAGAGGGATCGAAGCTCGCCAACTTCTATTAACATCTAGTGTCCCCTTGAATCGCTTCCAGTTATGTAACTTGTGAACTTCATCAAACCGAAACTATCCTTTGAACTATTTCTTTTTGAACGCGTATTTTTCTTTAACTTATATTTGATGCTAACGTCTTAATTAAAACCACTCCTTCCCCGCTAAACAGTCAACGAGTTTCCATTCAACCGCAATCCCTGTATCGTCTTTAATCTGTTTCAATCCGCTCAACGAGAAACGCTTATCTCCTCGTGCCTTACACTATTCCATGTTTCGCATAATTTTCTCCCCTTTTACTTGATTTTCATGAAAGTCATTTATTTTCTACAGTGCTTGGACAATACATATGCTTTGAATAAGCAACAATATAATTAAAACAATCAACTGTAAATTCTAATAATAGTTATGAAATTCTATTGTTTTTAGTAATTTCTTCACAAATTAAATGAGTAACTAATGTTCTTTAATGAATGAATTAGTGACGAAACTTCAAGGGATTCACAATCGGCGCGACCTGTTAATAAAAGTTCATTAAATTCCGCATCGCAAAGCAGCATCACTTTCTGTTCTGTATAATATACTAATGACTAGTCCATACCATCACCTTTCTGCATCGTCTAACGATTGTTCTACTTTCATCCCTAAAACGGCAAAATTTAATTTCGCGGATGCAACGCAACTGCGTGCTAACGACTGGCGATGTGTAATTGGATTAAACTTATTGCGGTAAATGTAATTAAAAACGAATTTACGCCGGTCGTCCTTGCCGTACGTCTTAAGAGATGAAAAATTTATAATGAAAAATCATCGGTGCCGTCGGAGGCGGCGGATTTGCGCGACGCCCCCGAAAATCCTATGACGATTAGCGCACGAGATAACCCCATCTCGATTATATTTGATTATGTAATGATAATGGATCCGGCACTCGGAAAAACAGGACACCTCTTAGCATTGTTGTACTGACACAATACCAATAATGCTTTTAACCAAAATTACAGGAAACCCAATTGATAAACAATTTGTTTACACAATATATTTTTAAATCAATAACTTTTATTTCTTAGTTCTAATTCGAATAGGCAAAAGCCTTTGAAAAGTAAAACTGATCTAAATAATCGTAATAACAATTTGGAAACAAAATAGAAAAATCATTTTATGTTCTAATATTTTCTTATAGAAAAATCTAATATGTTTTTCTCTAAATACATTTTTCGTATATTTCTGTATTTTCACAAATAAATCCGGGTCATTTCATGATCCACTTCATATTTTGTTATTGTATGGAATGAATGCCATTATTTAACAATAAGCTATTAACAATTTAAATTTTAATAAATATTATTTATAAAAGAAAGAAATACAATGTTTTATTGTTATAATTTTTTCTTTATTAATATTTAAAAATTCTTGTTATTGAACTATAATCTATGAAAATAACTACGTTGTTTGTAACAAAAAATAATGGGGAAGTGCACTTACGTTTGATTGTTGTTTTTTTCGGTGGGACAAATTGTTGATGTGTTGGTAGTTACACTAGAACTAGATCTTCAACGGTTAATGTGCTGGATCCTGCTGGATGGCATCTTTTATATAGTCCTCGAGTGTTGCGCCTACGGCTTTTTGCGCTGCTCCCCGCCAATGGGACGAAGACCACCCCTTCGACCATATCACCTCTCGTATCTTGACATCGGACCATTAGCGTCCCGCGAAAAATTAACACCGACATATGCAATAATCAAATTCAAATTGACATTATCTGGCGGACCGGGCAAACAATCCAGCGGATTTATCTAAAATAACAATTAAAGCATTAGCTTTCATTTGCAGTACAAAAAAAAATACCTAACAATTATGTAACACTTGTGTATTACTTCAACATCTTGTATAAAAGCGCATATAATCAAGGTGAGTTTTGAATAGATTTTGTTTTTTTTGTTAAATCCATTTTCAAACCTGAAAATAAAGTATGTAATTATATAATCCATTCGACGAAAGGTGAATCGACTTAAATATGAACTTAATATTTATTAACAATTTTATTGATGGTTTTGTTTTTCTTCGAAATTCGATTAAAATTAATGATTCCACGCAAATAAAATTAGTGAACATAAACTATAAAGAGAAAAACTTATATTAATTCTTATTTTATTACGTTTATTTTTTATAGAAAAAAAAAACTATAAACTGACTTTATAAATTTTATTTAAAAACTTTCTGAATATTATATGCCAATAAAAGAAGAAGTATTTTATATACAGTAAAATCTATTTTTGTGCGATTTTTTTTATGCGGTATATGAAATCCAACCAATTCCAACAATAGTGCTCAAGAAATTCTGTTACTCGATTTTGAACCAATTAATCACAAGAAAATGCGCGTTTTGGATTAACACGAGTATCAGTGAATTATGCATTTTGATAATTTCTCCATATGTACAATGATAAATAAAATGTTTTTAAAATTTTCCATGTGTAATATAATTATTCATTTTATTTGGATGCACTTTCTCATGTATTTTGTAAATCTTTGACGTATTTTTATGTTTCTGTAATATATTATACAAATTTATTTGTAATATGTAAATATTTTTTTGTGCGATTTTTTTTTTAATATATATATGTAAATATCTTGAAACTGAACTCAAATCAAACTTTAAATTAAATTTAGAACAATTTCAAATAACAATTGTAACATCACACTTGAATTGATTTTTCGAATTGGAATAATGAGAACGCAAATTCGGTTTAACTTCGAAAAGCAATATCAGTTTAAATAACAATTTAAATATAGCAAACAAATAATTCCTTTAATGACAACTCGAATAATGAATGTTTTGAAAGTTTGCTGCGTATCATATTATCCAGTGCGCGAGACGTGAAACGTGAGGATAAATTAAAAAAAAAAAGAAGTATATATTGAATATCTGTAGGACACTTTAAAGGAGGTAAATTAATGAGGCGTTTGTTAAAAAGAAACTTAAAGTAAATTTAAGATCATCATACTCTTTCACAGAATTCTACCCAGAAGTTTGTTGAATGCCGACGTTCGATAGGTTAACAGTTATTAATGGAGCAAGATAATTATAGTTATTGCAAAAGTTCAAGTTGCAGTGTTCATAGTTTAACTAAAATGGATAAACATATAAAACATGCCAAAGTGATTGTTTTATGTTTTTTCAGGGAAAAACATCTCGCTGTGATAATAATAATATGCACGTCTTGTGAGATGAACTACAATCGAATCGAATCGAGCAATCGAAGTTTACTTCATAAATATTATTCATGGAATATTAAAACATTCCGCTGCATCTGTAAGCAAATTTCACGAAATCGCTAGCTTAATATATGCGGCAAAGTTCCACTTGTCTATTGTGTTTCATAAATAATGCAACAGTTCAAAGTTTTCCTTCTTTCAATTACAATTTATTTGAATTTTACTTACAAATAATGTATTACATCTCTACTGAATTATATTTCGATTGACAGTTTATAGTACAGTGGAACCTCGCTTAACAAACAAAATGAATTGTAAGAAAAGTGACTCGCTTAACGAGAAGAGAAGTCCAGGATTGTGCACTTGCTACATCATTTTTAAAACTTATGTAACAACATATTATGTGTATCGTTATCGTTAAGCGAGGTTTCACTGTACATTTTAATGGAAGATACTTCATTTAACGTTGGGACTCGAATTAATAGTCTTCATGGACGGCGGCCGTTTGAAGAGTAAATGAAGGCCTCAGGACTTGACTTGAAGATTAAATAGATCCATTCGCTAGGTAAACAAATGGGGAAGGATCGTTCGTTCTTTGTTACCAAAAATCGCTTGTTGACAAAATGACCGCGAACATTCCTGATACTGATTATGCTGTCCCTTTACATTTTGCTCAATCCTTTTTTTTTTGTTAAAAGTGTAGAATTAAATTATATTTAGTACTTTGATAATTCCATACAATTTTCACCTAATTTTACATAATTTTCTTTAAAACAAAATATATGAATTTGGAATAAAACACAATAATTATTTATCAAATATAAAGAAATAAACAATATACATAATCGAGACTCATTTTTTTGATGCTGTAGACGAGACTACTGCACGGTGCTGAAAAGTTGGTGGAAAACCACAAAATCTGCTGCTGATTTAATTTATGTAAAGTCGAGAGCGGAGTTGGTTTATTCTAGCGAAGTACCATATCATGGAAAACACAAATTAATTGGGCATCAAATAAAGGCGACATGTTATGAAACAACACGACCAGGCTATTATTTTCCAAAGCGTTGGTGCAGTTTGTGCTTTTCCGCTTGTACTTGAGCTTGTAGTAGTATTGCAAACCGAAGAGGAAAGCAAACCGTATTTTTGGTTTAACTACCGCAGTTCAAAGGCGATGGTAAACAATAGTTTGATTAGTGGCCCAATTTGAGAGAACCGCTAAACAAACACGAAATTATTCAATCATTGATTTTCTCTGAAACTATAATAAATAGAATGGATCCAAAATATCACTATGAAATCTCGAATAATCATTGTTTTCACATTTTATTAATTAACTAATTTAATCATTGATAAAATGAAAAAAAAAATTGAGTATTATTTTTTTTTAACGTTGCATCGGATAATGTGTATGTGCTAACGTACATAAAAATAATGGGAAAATGTTGATACATTGCCCCCCTCCCTAACGATGTTTGGCAGTAATAATAATAAAAAAACGGATAATGGGGGTGTTGTTTGTGCCAATAAAACTGTCATAAAGACAATTAGTTTGCACTTAAAGCACGAGACTATTAAACGTTTATTATACAAATGTCTAATGAAGTCCTAGAGGTGTCCTGGAAGAAAAAATAATAATAAGATTAAGCTCCACTAAGGCTAGCATTCGCGACGACTTCAAAGTTTGCTTGGAATGAAGACCTTCTACTACAATATCAAAAAAGAATGTACGTTAATGAAATCGCATTAATCCGTGTTGCTCGGAATCAAAGGGCGCTCCCTTAAGAGACAAAGCGGAAAATCGCATTTGCCGCAGGACCGTATGACTATTTGCCATCAACATTATTATATTTGGGGTGCACTCTTTTTACTACTTTTTACTTCCGATGGCAAAGGATCAGCTTGGGCGGAGAGCGAAGGGAGCAAGGAGTATCTTGCTGCTAGGCTCGTGCTCTGAATGGCGAATATATGTCGAACGAATTACTAGATAATCGTTGTTTATCGTTACCTTCATAATTAAACATTTAGATTATTTTAAATACGACGACCAATTAAATTTCCCTAACATTTTTTTTTGTTCTTTTATGTATATTCTTGTGACGAATTAGTTCAAATCTGTAAGCTGTAATTCGTGTTCATAGTTTAAAAAAATGCTCGAAAAAGCAGT